TCCCGGTGGCTCAGCCGGCTCTGGCCCGGCCCCGGGCCGGGTTTGGTTGGTAAGCCCCATTCTCTGCCATTAGGCTCCTCGCCTGCCAAAAACGAGGGGGAAAGCGGCACCGCGTACTGACAGACCAGTGGTGACGAAGTGACTTACGCGATGGCCTGCAGTGTGCCAGTGACACCTCATGACTGGCAGTCACAGCTAAATGCAAAGTGAGAAATCTCCCCAAGTCATACACTTCCTGGTAATGGTGGTGTTACAGCAGCATGTGCTCGCAGCAGTGTTTCCTAAGTGTTTGTGGGCCACTTCTTGCAAATATGTTTGGAAATCCTTCTAAAGATAGGTTTGGTGCTGTACTGGAAGTGATCTCCACTCTTAACACCACCTTTGGAAACTTCTCTTAAGGATATAGAGATACATTTGGGGGTTACTGGGGATTTCCTGCTAATCAGCTTTGCTTTAGGTGCACAGACAGCAGTCAGTCTCCTTAATGCAGGTGCAGCATTGGGCCAGTGTGTGTTGCTTGAGCGTAAAAGGAGGATGAGCGCTTGTCTGTCTCAGAGACTAAAGAGGCTTTTTTGATGTGTCCTGGTCCTGTGTAGTGTCCGCTTCTCTCTCCAGAGCAATGAGTTCACTCAGTCACAGTTCACAGCCTTTTTGAGTCCAGTGAGGTTTGCTTTCCTAAGTTTGGTAGTAACCCTGCAGATGCCAGCTAGCAGTTTTAAAAGCTGTGTTCTGCACTGTGTTTCACAACTCATGCTATCGCATAACCATGTATTTGTGATTTTTTTTTCCATTCTCTGGGATATTTCTGTCCTTACTACACTGGGTAATGGATTTGTACCTCATCTAACCTTACGTTGTGGCTTCATTGCCTCAGGATGTTTCTGTGTCTGAGCCTATGTCTACATTGGCAAGTAAGAGAAGTTCTGAGCGAAAGAAGGGGAGCTGAGGATCTGACATCCACACCACTGACATGCCAGTCCAGGCCAGCTTTAGTCTAGTCCTATGGATGCAGTGACTGCTAGGGTTGGAACGCATTGGGTATGTTCTGAGGACGTATCTGTTGGCTTGGTTTCCTTTGGAAGGAATCCATTATGCACACTGCAAGACCCTGCATGACAAGTGGGAGCAGTCAGAAGGTTTCCTTCAAAAGTGCGCTGCTGATCCTAACTGGAATATTGATGTAGAGATACCTCATGTGTACCTAGTGCACTCCATCCATATTACTAGGCTAGGGCTGACCTGAAGTACATCCTACCTGAAATGCATATAGTATGTGTATCAGGATCTCAACATTAAGTAGCTTTGCTGTGCATACCCGCTCCTATCAGTATGTTCTACTTGCTAATATAGACACAGTCTCAGTTTATTTGGCTGTAAATTTACATAGTGATGCGTATACATCACTGTATCAGAATGACTGGAGAACAGCGTGGTGAACCTTGGTATTTGCCAACGAGTAAATGACCATGAAAGATGTTAGAAGAAAAGTTTTTGAATGGCAGCATGTGACAGGGTTTCTCCCAGAGATTTCTGATTTCCTGTACAGATTTCTGGTTGCAGTTTGCTGATGTAACAGACAGACCACACAAGTATTTTAGTACTTGGAAGTTACACAGTGTAAACAGTCTGCAAATAATCTTTTGTTAATGTTTGAAGTATTTAAAAAGTGGTTATTTTGATTTTTATAATAAACTTTTTAGGCCTTTTTTATAATCTTCCAAACATTTTATTGATTTCTATAGCTATTACATTTATGGGGTCAGTTGTTGGAAATTGCAGGCAAGTTGCTGAATAGGGTAAACATTTTTATATATGGATCAAATTACCTGGAGATACTTTGTTCTGCCTGTAAATTTTTTTTTGTCTCTTTTATTAACTGCCTTCCTTCATAAGTCCTCTTTCTGGACACACTAAATTGAAGCACAGTTTGTCCTAGACAAATGGAAATTTTCAGCAGCTGCAGTTTTTTAAAAAGCTGATAGGAGGAAAGGTTATTTATAACTCCCTATAACAGCTCCTCTCTAATGCACAGTAATCTGCTGTGACTTTACAGTGAACACAGCAACATGTGGTCTCCTGCTCTCCTACAGTAACCTGCAGAATACTTTCCACATGAAGGATACTTTAATCACTGGGTTGCCTGCAAATTTCCTGGAGGATGATAAAAGCATTTCTTTATGTTATTGCTAACTTTGTAAATTTAACGTGATGTTTTCCCATCCCTCTTTCTTAGGAACATGAAGCAAGTAAAGCTAGATTTGCTCACAGTCTTCTGTGGAATAGTAAGTTGCTGTACAGCAGGGAAGTAGTAAAGAAGCAGGCATTCTTATAAAGCATTAAATTCCAAAACTTTGAAAAACTCAATTCATGGGATAGAATATGAGTACATTTCCAGTTTTCCACAGAAGGTGGCAGCATTTTGAGCACTGATGTCAGTGTGAACTTGCTAGCAAATGTCACTTTGCTGAAAAAACACAAACTTTACAGAAATTCACTCTCAGAAGTTGTGGTGAGTATGAACAGGAGCGCTTGGGCATAGATTTGCTGTAGAAGTAGGGGACCTGGGGAGGGAGGAGGAACATTTGCACAGGTGGAGTATGTGGATAGGGCAGATTTAACCCCAAGAGGACTTTGTGTTAATTTAGCCTTGTTTACCACTACTGTAATACTGCTGGAGTGCCTCTGGACTTCAGCTAAGTGAAAAATGACTGGCTTATAGGTTATGCCTTTTTTCACAGGAGCAATAATGCAGCTGATATATGGATCATCAGAGAGTGTCCTGTTGGGCTGCAGCTTCAGGAGATGCAGTGACCCTGTGTAAGAGATGTCACCAAAAAGGGGAAGCCTCTCCCACTATTTTGTCCATTTTCTTTCTCTACTGTCAGCAGTGAGCTCCAACTCCTTACCTCATAGCCACCTTCTCTCTAGCACCTGAGGGACCCCTCTAGGCAAGCAAATTTAACTTACTGAGCTGGCAAAAAAATAACCCAGTGGGAAAACTGGATCATATTCTGCCAGAGCAAGAAAGGTGGAGGACCATAGGACTGGAATCAGAGAGGATAAGAAAAGGCAGGGGAGGAGAGAGAGCAAGCCTTCCCATTTTGGCATGAGGGAGCTGATAACATTGGCAGCTGCTTGTGAAACTGCAGCCTTAGGGCAGTCTAGGTAGTTACAGGATTGAGCTCTTGATCCCAAGCTCAGTCACAGCAGTCCTGCTAGCACACAGATCTTGCAGCCTCATTTGACATGCTCACACACTCCCAGCCTGTCCTACTGCTTATCAGACATCTCGTCTGAGCAAGGAGGTGGTGACTGACAACCAAGAGGCAGTAGCTGCTTAAACCTCTCAGCTGTAATTAACCCTGCAGGCACTCGTAGTGCATCAGAAGAATGCCTCAGACAGGCTAGCTAAGGCCACATGTGAAGCTGATTTAAATTAGTGGTTTTCTAATCACTAAATATATAGAATCTTTAAGGAACTGACGAGCAGCTGAGACAGCATAGGGCCCTGATTTCCATCCATTCTGCAGATTCAAGAAGTTCCTCTATCCTCATCTGGGAAGAAGGAAGAGGCTGATTTTTGCATCTCCAGTAAAAAGAAAGAGGCAGGAAAATCAGATCCCTCAGAGGAGGAGATGTTTGCCATTGAGAACTGCTGGCTGTTGTGGGTGCGAGTGCATTTCCAGATTTTTTCCTTCTCTTCTGTTGGAATTAAAATTTTAAAAAACCCTATGGCCAGGATATTCTACAGCAGATTGGCTGCAGGAGTTATTTTACTGGCTGGTAAGAAGCACCACTAGCTTACTGTGGGGAGTGGATCCAGCATGTGTGATTCTCTTAGGCTTTTTTATACCTTCCTCTTCTTCATTGCCTTGAGCATTCTAAGGCTTTTTTTGACCAGCTGGCATCCTGGGATGAGAACTACAGCATGTGGCTCAGGCTGAAGGGTGCCTGTGGGTGATGGCAACTTGGTGACTCGGGGAACGAATGTTTCCTCTTTTTATCGCAGGGTGATGGTGCATTGAGCTGAAGCGGCCCGGGAAAAGCACGGTGTCCTTGCTTGTGAGCACCACGTGCATGGCTAAAGTCCTCTTCCTGGCAGGTCTGAGTCATTGGCATGAGCCAGGTAGCTCTAGGAGTTGTAGCTGGAAGAGGTAGTTCCTCTATGAAATTCCTGTGTAGATGACATGGGGGACAACAGGGGTTGGAGGGCACCTTGACTGCCTAGATTTAAAGAGCTTTAGAGGGGATCTTGCTAAGAAAGGAGGGGGCCAATGTTGAAAATGGAGGGGAGGCGGAATTGGAGCAATTTTTTTTTTTGCTTTGGTGTTTTTCTTTTTGCAGGGAGGGAGAAAAAAAAATGGGCTGGGACTTGTCCAGTTTGCTCACGTGCTGAATGTGAGATTTTTTTGAGGGGATGAGGGGAGCAGGGATAGAAAGGACTATAGAAAGCTATATCTGGAGGGAAGGCTGGCAGCTGGTATGCAGAGACTTGGGGGCAGGCCAGACAGTGGATATGTGAGTGGTGCATAGGGGCTCAGACAATTACAGAAAAAACGGAAGGGGGCCGTCCATTTGGGAACTGCTAAGCAAGCTGCTCCATTCTGTTGACTTGAAGGGCTGAAACAGTTGACTACTAGATCTCAGTTGGAAATGGCAACCTGCAGCAGGGAAGAGGTAAGGAGAAGATTCCTAAACCACATCTGGGGAGGAATTCTTGAAAAGGGAGCCGTTTTCCAGTCTCTGTAATGGTCAGTCTAGGCCTCGGAGTGATCGTGCTCTGCTACAATCAGCATGTTGATGCCTGAAGTGTGATACTCGATGCCATATTGACAGGACCATGTTGACCTGCCTGGAGTGACCAGTGCTTTGACATTTTCTTGACACCAGCTCCTGTAGAGTTGTAGACTGTCCTCCATAGCCCATTCTGCTAAGTCTGGTAAACTGTGCTGTTAGATGTCTTGGTTTCTAAAAAGAGCATTAATCCTTCTTCTGTTCAGTGTGAAATATATACCATGGGTTAGTTTCTCTGCATTCATAGAACCATATTTTTCTGTTTGAAATTTTCAGTTTTTCTGTTTGCCAAGAGTTGACATAATAAATTACAACTTAAAATCTTGGTCTTTATGATCTGGTACTAAGACAGCTAAGGTCACAGATGGCTCTTGGGTGACCAAAGGCCTCATAGATAAAAAGAACAGTACCTTGCCTTGACTCCCAAGAGCAAATTGAGAAGAGGTGGATGTTCTGGAGCACGTATGTAATATGTCCTGTTTTGAGCAGAGGGATTGGACTAGACAATCTCTAGAGGTCCCCTCCAACTTCAACTACTGTGTGATTCTGAACTAGGAAGAAAGTTTTCTTTAAGAAGTGTCTGCAACCTTTGTGACTTGGAATTTCATTTTCATTATACTCCATCTTTCCAGTAATGACTACATTGATAACTAACAATTTTCTCCCACCTCCAACATTTCATATCCCTGTTGCTGTCTGGATACTTCAATCGCATGTAAAGCCAAATAAAGACCCTATGAATTCACACTGTTTTGAATAGAGGGAAAATTCTGGATTTTGGCTCACTGGTGAAACTGTGTGCAAGGTACAAAGATATTGCATAGCAAAAATGTTTATGGCACTTCTTGCTAGCTTGTGTGTCCCCTCCAAGAACCGAGGTGTCTACATTATATGTTTCAGAAAATCTGATTGGGAAAGCTTGAAGATATCCATAGTAAAATTTGATTGTTGCCACTTTGGACACTGTGCTTTGAACAATGCATTTTCCCTAATGGGGTGTAAGGAAGAACACTCTACATTTGGGGGGAAAAAAACAACTTTGTAGACATTTGCTAGACATAGCTTTAAAGAGGAATGTTTCATGGGGATTTGTATATGGGATTAGACCTAAATGAAATAAGGCAGTGCAGAGAGACAGAAATTCTGCCATCATGTTACTTTTATTTAAACAGGCAGGTGTGCTTTTAATGTAAGTGGTTTTATTTTTATTAATACTTGATGCTGAGTTTTGAACAGTACTGTACCCAAACAATTTTAACAATATAATGCTCAATACACTGTTTATTGCTCATTGGTTTTGTATGAACATAAAAACTGGAAATGAATGTAAGAATACATAAGGCACCCTACTAATACGCTGATTTCATGTATGGTAGTAACATGCACAAAATTTCATTTTGCTTTCACAAATCACTCTTCTCATTTTCCTTATTAGAGAAAAAATAAGTTATTTGGGCAAGGGGTAATGCTTGTCTGAAAAGTCAAAACTTGAAAGCGCTTTCTAATTTTTTAATTTAACCTTCCACCTTACAAAACTAGCTTTTGTAGAGCATGTCCCAATTTCTTTTTCTGAAGACAAGAAGTATTTTTGTTCTTCTTTTGCTGTTACTAGGAAACATGCCTTGCAAGAGGACTGTTCACGTACTGCTTGAGACAAAAGACCTGACTTGCTTTTTCATCCACATTTTCTTCTTGTACTGACCCCGCTCAAAAGAGAAAAATGCAAAGGCATTTTTACTGACTTATCTTGTGTGTCTGGGCCCGAATCAGTGATCAGCACAAGGTGGGAGCTCCAGAGAAACTGCTTAAAAGCCTTTTTTTAATTTCAGGATGCCCAAAATCAGGACTTCCCAACAGTTTCACAGTACCTTCTGTCCAACTGTCTTTTTTACTTAAAGGTCCGTGTTGGCTCTCACCCTGTTTCAGGGCTGAGGAGAACAGTGACACCTCAGGCAGCCTCACAAACTTGTAAGCTGCTAGGGCGGAAATCACTTTGCGAAGGCTTCAATGATTTGACAACCTATTGCCAAAGTGCTGACAAATGATCAAATAAATGAACCAGAGAGATGGGGCTCTGGCCCCACCCCAGCTGCCAGCTTTCTTTAAACGGTTTGTTACATTCTTTTTAGAAATTATCTGAAACAATAGCAGAGACAAAAGGCTTGGATTATTTTTTTTTTTAATTTAAAGCAGATCATATCATAATTTCCTGATGTTCTAATGTCTGTTCTTTAAAACTGAAATGTTCTTGTGGGGCAGTATAAACATAACAGATAGAATCATCGAGTTTACCAGTTATATGAAGTATGTATTACATATATGATAACACCCGGCTTTACATGAACATTGAAATGCAAGATGTCTTTTAATTACATAAGTTATTACAGTACTGTTTTAAAGGAATCTTTTGGTTATATGTAAACACTATAAATTAGCTGTTTAAAAAATAATCACATAAGACAAGTATGGCATTGACATAGTTTAAAAAACAATAACTAGCCCTAAATCTGAATACTCTCAGGGTAGAACAGCAAAAGTGGTTATCAATCTAATGCTATGGAATAACATGCTGAAATTTTTACTTATGTGAAGAACCAGTGCTTCTTTGTGTTCCCTCCTTTTGTTTTCACATTTTAAAATTTTCACTATCAGTGCCCTAAGGAGTGGGCCAACTTCTTACTGTGTGTGACAGGGTAATATATGCTATTTTGAGTGTTGCCATTCTCATATTAAAAGCCATCTAAATTAAGTCTCCTAAATATTTACTGGTTTAAATTAAAATCCTGAGGAATTATAATCTGTTTACTTGATGGTTTTGGTTAAGTGCAGTTTGATGTATGCAGAATGCTGTTTCATTTAGGATCATTCTTAGTAAGGCATATTAAAAATAAATATAAAAGTGACAACATAATATTTAGTTTCTTGCTACAAAATTTTAGGCAAAAAATATTTTTGCATGTAGTAATGGACTTTATCCATTTGCTGGCTTACACGAGTTAAAATTTGTGCATTAAGCTTAACTGCCCTTGTCAGAATGTGCCACTGTGCTATAATAGTGGTCCAAAGCTACATGCTAAAGATTTTATTTCCATGCTCAAACATAGCTTGCACAAACTGCTTGAAGACTCTGTCCATGTAAGTGCACTTCCTTGGCCATATTCCTTCCAGAAAACCAATATGGCCTCCGCACGAAGTCAGAACCAAAGCAACGTTTGCATTTTGTTTGGCAGTTTCTACTGGTATAGCTAAAAAGGGGGAGGAAAAAGTTTTAAGTCCTTATCCTTCTATGAAATGCCAGCCACTCAATAATTTCTCTTAAATGTTTCTCACACTATATGTGAATAAATATGCACAACAATAACATATGCTTAAATGTACTGCCCGCAGGACATAGAACCATAGCTGTGTTAAAAGCCATTTCTCTCCTCATCATTAACTCGCCTTATCTGTGTGATTTTTCTGGCTGCTGTAAAATTTTCAGAAATCACTGGGCTTCATCTTTCTTTCAGTCCCACTGATGGAAAAGCCCCCATGTTAATGCATATTCGCAATTCGGTATAAATAGTGTAAGTGAAAGGACAATCGAACCTGTAGTTTTTAACCTGTGTTGCAACATTTAGGTTTGGAAAAACTGTGGAACCTAGGACCTTAATTATGAAACCCGTTCTTTTTGTAGGAGACTCCAAACACAAAACCTTTAATGTCACAATAAGATTTTGTCTGTAAGAGATCCTATCAGCTAATGTTAAAGATTATGCTGGGTTATCATCATTATATCTGATTTGCCATACGCTTACACCTGCATGTTTAGACCATACCATGCAAACACACTGGGAGACAGTTCTTGCCCCAAGGAGCTCATAATCTAAATACACAAGGTAAACAGAAAAAGAGGAAGGGCAAACAACCATGCAAGGACACAGAAAGCTGCTCCGCGTCACCCAGTATGTTAGTGGTTCTCTACTGAATAGTGACTACTAGAAAATGATTTAATTTGGAATTTAGAATATTAGAGCAGATACTACAAGGATTTTTCTTTTGCTGGGTTAGTTTTCAGCTGGATCAGCTCCCTGATCTGGTTGCCCATGTTAATGCCAGTATATGAATGGCAGTAGGCACAGTCAGATGGGGACTGTGGTGAGGTGGCCCTTTCACTGACAGCCTACAGTTAGCTTACAGTCATCAGTGAACTACACCTGAGACATGCGCTGATCCTGAAATGTGCAGAAAGGGAGACTTCAGTGCATTTTATTTTGAATATGCACGGATGTGTGGCTTTATCAATGCTATCACTTCGGCAGTTCACTTTGTGAAAGAAAGTAAAGGTCAGTTAGCACAGTCTGACATGCGTGTGACTTTACAAATGGCATTTCATTGTGATGGGATGACACTATTACCATATGAACTGGTTGACACAACAGTGGAGCTTTATGGTGCTATGGTGGTTGTGCTCTCAATATACAAATTAAGTTATTTAAGCAACTTCCTCTGAGTTTTAAGTATGCTAAATATACTCCTGAACAAGCAGAAATCCCAATACATTTCAGTGAAGAATGCCTTTTAAATTTCTACTTTTCAAATAATAAACTTCATGGAAAGGAAAAAAGTAAAAATCATACAGGATTTTTTGATTATTCAGGATTGACAGAAAAAACAACAGCAAAAGATGACATGCTTTGTCCAGACAGAAGGGAGTAGTAGGAATTTCACTGTATTGTCTAAAGAAGGTTACGATTCCACAAGAAAATAAATCTGATTTTAAGTCATACACTGCTAAAGTAAAAATACCTTGGCAGTACAACACAAAGCAGAAAGTCATTTGCAGGATTTCTATTGCTGCCTCATCTATGTTAAAGTGTTTTTGAAGAGAGATTTTTAATCAGGTTCGCTTTTGGGGGGGGTTCAGTTGTCCACATCCCTTTCTGACAGAACTTCCTTCAGAGACATTTAAAGCAATACTGAGGCAAGACTAAAAAGAAAAGTCAATGAAATAAAAGCCTAGGGCCTGCCAGCCTTGACTGGGAAATAGCACAGGCTGAAAACAAGAGATGTAGAAAACCGTGTTATTTCTTGCAATCCAACACGTACATAATTTTCAGACTCCAGGCTTGGCAAGCGCTTGTCTGGAGTTTTGCATGAGTTAATCTGCCCAGCAATCTTTGTTAGGGCTCCCTTGGATTCTGTGGGTGAACACATTGCCCTGTACAAAGAGAGTGGCTATGATTCATGTCAGCTTCTGCTGACTCCAAGGGAATTTGCCCACTTATCTCTACCAAGCCATCTGCTCCTCTTCCTCTAGTAGCGCATGGGCCATGTTAAACAGAATCCTGATAGGAAAGTGGGGCTCAGACTCAAGCCCGATTCCCCCATTCCTGCTTCAGGCAATGAATGAATCGCACTTTCCACAGCCGTTCTGCAGCTGTCTCCCTGGTCACTGAGGGGGCTAATGGACAGGCTTATATGAAAGGGTATGGGGAGGAGTGTGTGAGGAGAGACTGATTTGATCTCCAAGAATCAGAGATAGCATGAGAACTGCATTGATCCTAATGGATTCAGGATCAGCTGCCTACTGACCTGAACACACCTTTTGACTAGCTAAGATTGTGCAAAAACATGGTGGTCGTTCTCTTTGTCAGACTAGTGTCAAAGGGTAGAGAGAAATATCCTTTCTTGCCAAGAAAGCACTTTGCTGGCGTTGTGGAAGGGAAATGACAGTAAATGTCTCTTCTGCTGTGCCAACCCAGCTGGAGAAGCCCTTACAGCCAAAGCTCACTGTGACCTCAGCATACCTGTCATTCAGAGGTTGCCAGCGTAATGATATCTCCCAAATCAGTTTGCTGGTAGTTAATTATTCATTCCCAAACTGATCGGCAATACTGCCATGGGTGCTATGCACTGCCTGCCTCCAAAAAGCTACAGCAGCTCTCTCCTAGAAGCCTACCAGCACTAGGATGCTGGTTATTTTCTGTGCCAGGTAAGGCACGAGCCACACACAGGTCTTTACGAATGTCATCTTCCCCATCCCAAAGTTTTCCCTATTCTAACTAACATGTGTTTACAGCAGAATTCTGCCACAGATCATTGCCCTTATCACAAGCTCCAGCACTGTGCTGAACATGCAGTCATTTGTTTCCCTCTGCAGTGAGGATTTTCAGGAGGTGCTGAGTCTGACCTGCTGTTACCTCTCTGCTCTTACCTCCCCTGTGGTGAACAGGAGAGCCTGCCCTTGGCATAGTCGGTCTTGATACAGTTGGATCATCATTTGTATGACTCCTCCCCAGCAGAGTTTCTTGCTCTGCAGCTTCTCAGGAGAGAATTTAATATGTTGTGCTGCTGTCCAGTGCCAAAATGCAAATGATGCTTGGCTGTCGTGTGGTACTTTTCTCAAGGCTGTTTCTAGGGACTGTTAGCCATCCACAAATAAACCCACAATGCAACAGAGCAAATTGTGCAATCTAAAGGGCAGATGAATGGAGCGCTGGATGTGATGCACTCTAGGATATAGGATGGCATGACAAAAGATACTACTGTTCATTTTTGTTCACATGTAACCTTGTAGAAACGTAATTTCTACTAACCAAAATCTGTACTGCTGTTTGATCTAGCAGGCATAGACCTGTTATTTCTGATCACAGAACCACAATGTCAATATGTATGTGCAGAATTACCTCATTCAAAGTCAATTTCTTGTACATGCTTTGCAAAAAGTTTTTTTTTAAAAAGAACAATAGGAAAACATGAAGAAGCATCAGCTTAAATAAGTCACTGCTGTCAGACTTTCTGTTCAATTGTTTGGTTGATTTCTCCCTGTTCCTTAAACTCTTACCCTAATTGTTATCCCTCTGGGCATTCCTTGGCCATTTGGTCTCTCCAGACCAACTTCATTCAACTGTGCTGTTTACATAATAGGATACTAAATAACACTTAAAAGCAATTACTCAAAGTTTGGATTCAGAGGGACAGAAAAAGTTCAGAGAGTTCAATAAAAAGTATGACTGAGCTTCAGACATGCACTTATTTGGCACAGTGGATCAGGAGGGAGCTGGCATGATACCTAGCTTAAAGGGCAGGCTTTCAGCTTGGGCACAACACTCACCAGCGGCAATTAGCTAAGCATTAGTACAGTGAAATTTAAGTCAGATGCCTAATACACTGCTTAAAGTCTCCAAGGAGAAAAATGCCACTTCAGATGAAAAGTTAAATGTGACACTGATAATGAATGTTATCATTCCACCTTCTTGATTTATTTTTCACATTTAAAAAATAAAAGGGCTTGACTTGGTTACATTACATATTTAGCAGTGGCTCGTTTAAATAAGTTATGGTGAAAGAAGTGTCATGCAATGAAGAAAGCATTTGTTTTCATTCGTTAATATTATGCAATATGAGACCTGCGTTCCAGAATTAAACTACAGATACACCAGCTGCCAAGCTCTATGAACTTTAAACAGCAACGTTAAGGAAGGACTGCAAATGAATTGTTTCTTCCTAATACTGGATTGAGATCAAAGGGCACATTTTCACGATATATTCAAAAAGAATTGCTGGGAAGTACAAAGTGTACCAAAAAGCTACATGAGAAAAAATGATCAGGTAGTAAGAGGCAACAGAGACAGCATCTGCACTTTTTAAGGGAAGTCTCTCTTTAAGTCCATATTGTATAGTAACAAAGCAGACTTGGGTTTGTATCCCCCAAGCTCTGTTACAGAAAGATAGATGTGGCTGGCTTTTTATAAAGGATATTTAAACACAAAGGAATTCTGGCACAGCTTTCTCCCTAATGAATTTTCTAGGCCTGTTTCCCTGCTGTCAGAAACTACAGCTATCTACAACAGAGGTGGAAGGTAGCTTAAAAGCTAGTAGGTATTACTGGGGGAAGATGATGCATGAAATGACCAGTCTCCAAAGCCAATAAAAGGCTGGTATCTGGATGAGAGGAAGTTTTGTGGCTTTGAATCCATTATACAGTTGTGAGCGGAAACTGCCTCTGGTTGCCATAGGCTTACATGTGTCCACATACTTTTAAGTCAGAAAAAACAAGCCAGTTGCCAGAATAAAGTCACCTCCCAGAGTAACACCAGTCCTTTATGTTGGCTAACATAAAACAGCCTGCAAAAGTGTCAGGATGAATGAACTCCAGTAACTGACAGCAGCAGCTGTAATTTCTAGGCTGCTAATCAGGGTGCCCTGTGTCCCCTGCCAGTGCAATGTTTCACATTGGGGGTGCATAACACAAACGAAAAAGGAGCCAAGGATAGACACACATAACAGAGTCATGCTGTTTACTGTAAATCAACATTGTCCTAGTAGCCCTTTCTAAGGTAAACTTGTCAATACAAGGACAACAGTTTCCGGCCAACAGCATTAACTCTGTGGACAAGGAATAAATGAAAGCCTAACCAACCAAACGTTTTCATGGAGAAAGGATGGTTAGGGTCAGAGTTTAAGAAAGGATGGATAGTCATTACAACAGACTTAACACTTCTTGTTTCAGAAGTGCTGGTGCTCTACCTCACTCCCTTCTACACTGCAAGACTTCTAAGGCACTTTGACAATAGGTTTGATACTTAATCCTACACAAGAGACCATCCCTATCATCCACTGTTCACCAAGAGTTGTGTTTCTTTTAAAAACCAGCTTTGGGGGAGGAGATGTCTGCTACAGCTGTACTCTAGGGGACTTAATCTTTTGGGTAGTCAAACTACACAATCACAGAACTGTTGAGGTTGTAAGAGACCTCTTGAGATCATCTAGTCCAACCCCCCTGCTCAAGCACGGTTACCTACAGCAGGTTGCCCAGGACTGGGTCCAACCAGGTTTTGAGTATCTCCCATAGACGGAGACCCTACAACCTCTCTATGCCAGTGTTTGACCACTCTCACAGTAAAAAAGTGTTTTCTTGTGTTCAGACTGAATTTCATGAGGTCAAGGTCAATGGTTGGCTCTTGAGAGCTGGAGGTTATATTCTAAAATGAAGAGAAAAGGGAATGGAGTATCTGCACTAGCTTTAATCTAGCTAACAAAGGTCCCAGTCCCAGTGACAATAGGCTGGAAAAGGTTAACAAATCCTCCAGGGACAGAGGCACACTGTCTGGTTCCCTGCTGTTGTTACTTGTGCTAACTAGCTAGCTCATTCCTGCCACAGTTACTACTTCACTTTAGAACAGAAACCACAAACTGAGCTAGAGCTAAACATAGAGGTGAAGCCATTGTTCCTTCTCTAAGATACTTAATGGCAGAAGCATGGCACAGCAGATCACTCATCTTGCAGCACTACGGGGAAAGTCATCCCCAGGGTCATAAGACCCATAAAAATTTATCTTCAGAATCACTAGCCAGATTTTATATTTGCACACATATTTAAGGTCACAGCCCCATCCATTCTCATTTCCAGGACATTATATGCTTATAACAGAAACAGTAACTAGCCAATTTCAAGGAAAAAAAAAATCCCACAGAGGCTAGTAAATACAAAGGGACTAACTCTGTCTCAGAAAGTCCCTGAACCACAAATTGTCAAAGGTGGATGCAGTATTCTGGAATAATATTGCTATGTTTGCCCAGATCTTATTTTTTTTTTTAAGCCTCTGTTTTGGCCACTATAAGGGATAGGTAGTTTGGCTAATCCAGTTACCCTTTTTTCCCCTCATATTAGGTGGCTATCCCCTCTTTATATTGTTCATGCATAGCATGGATGTTTTTCATTCAAGAGGAGAGGAAATCAGACTGTCTTTTTCTAGTGCCCTCTACCGGAGAGGCCCCTTCTCTTTGTGTCACATTTGTCTCTAACAGGTCTTCGAACTATAAATAGTAGTGTAAGTGTGTGCGTGTTTCTGTATGTGTTGCACATCTGCCTACAGAAAAATAGTACACACACACACAGTCTCTTCCAATTCCTTCATTCTGTTTGTTGTTCTAGTCTGTTTGCCTACTCTGGTTTCATGACTCATTCTACAAGAATCTCACTTGACTTGTGGTGGCAGAAGAAAACTTCCCTGAAATAAATCAAGTGTATAAACTTCATCTTTAAAGGTGTCAGGTGTTCACTGCTGAAGACTGTCCCCTCAACCAGCTGTTCATTCTAGTGGTTTTCCTCCACATTAGCTTTTGTTCTCAGACACTATAACCAATATATAGACCACAGGAACAAACATGTCTTTTTAAGACAGTTAAAAACAGGGTTTTGAGCTTTAGATCAAAAGCAAAATGTTCATAATGATCATGTGTTTGGCAGAAAAGAGAAAGAAACGGGAAAACAGTTTTCAGCCTGTTACTAGCTGATATTGCTGCTTCATCTTCTAGTTAGTTTCTTATTAATTTCAACATGCCTCCTTCTAGGAGCTCACCTTCTCTGTATCTCTTCCCTTACCCTAGATTTTGTCCTACGTGCTAACTTACATTTTTTCTTACTTTTAATTGTCAGGCACTGGAGGTGGCACAAGAGATCAACAGCTGAGGATTTCAAGTCATCTGAAACATAAGCAACTTCCAGACATTCCTTGTAAGGACTGGATTGAAAAATGGCAATAAAAAAATACTTGTTTTCACTTTCATTGAACTCTGAATGTCTACAATCCAGACATCTGAATCCCAGTTCCTCTTTATAGGTTCTCTTCATACTTGTAGAAACAGGTGCTTCCAAGAGGGCAATACATCTAATATCTTCCTTACAGTGAGATAACTCACACACTAAATGTGCATATTTCTTACTTTTGACTGTAAAGAGTCTACTAATGGCTAATGACTGCCACCCCATGTGCTTCTGCATCCTGTACGAATCAGGTCTCTCCATCATCAGCTGTTTTACATGTGTCTTACACTGTAAGTAAATTGCAAGACTGATCTATCCCTGGAGCTTTTGATCCTATGTACAAGTAACATTTAAATACACATTTAAGCATTTAAATACATGAGTTCATCCCCAGACCAATGTAGTTTGTCTTAATGATTGCGTATACAGATAAATATATTTTTAAAAGCCTAAACTTACCATGACCTGGTGAGAAAACATCATCCACAGAGTTTAGACATAACACTGGAATTCCTACTGACTTCAGCTTGCGACATGGGCTAGCATCTTCATAGTAGTCATCAATTGTACGATAGCCAAACATGACTGAAGTGAACTGCTTATCAAATTCTCTAACAGTTCTAGCCTGAAGTACAGAATTCAAACAGGGAACTATGTCAGCATTTGGAAAACAGCATCCAGCTAAAGCAGAAGTAACATTTTCACATACCTTCATCACAAGATCCATATCAAATAATTTCTCCAACATTTGTCGATGCCTAAAAAGAAAGAGAGAAAAATTGGAGGGCTTGGTTTTTTGTTATATAAACAGATGTAGAAGTCCTCTGCTTTACAGATACATTTATAGAAATAACTCCCTAACAAGGACATGCTTGTTTTTAATTTTCTGTCATATTAAAAATCTGCCTGGAATTCAAGAGCACAAAAATTGTTCATCCATATGCAGGCACATCCAGCAACATAGTAAGAATCTGTCTAAGCCATGAGAAAGATGCCAAAGACAAGAGAACTAAATATTTGGGAATACAAAATACACCCTAATATTATAAAGCAAAGGATGAACTAGTCCTTTCCATGTTTTTGCAGTCAACACCGACTTAAAAGCATTAGTATACATACATATATACTCAAAGTCAGTATGTGCATGTCTAAAAAATTAAAAAATCCATTCACTTCATCCATAAATATAGGAGTACATTGGTCTTGTGCCAAGTCCCTTGAGGAGCAGAGAAACTTAGTCACATTGATGACAATCTTTCTTGCAAAGTTCCTTTTGATTTCAAAACTTACAGAAGAATGCAGACAGAACAGCTATGTGAAGTGTTGTTACAGCATTAATTTTGCCAATATTATTATACCTGCTGTAGATCTCATGCTAACATCCTTCCACCTTGCTAAACAGTTCAGAAGGCAACTCACCTGCTGATAGAGGATTGTAGACAAGTAGTCAAGTAATAGTTGAAAAGAAGCCAGTTTAGTGGCTTCTCCAGAGATTCTACAGATTCAAAAACATTCCAACCCGCAGAGAAAATTGCAGCTGCCATTAAAGGAGTGTCTCTGCCAGTTTTGCCCAGGTAATTTAAAAGAAGCATGCTACAAACAGAAATGAAAAACAGAAACATATATACTATCAAATTGTTTGCTTCAATTTAAAGCAAATATAACAATCAGCCACTTTTCTGTCTGTTTTTCAATAGTTTCTTGTATCAGCCCTACCGTTGTGCCTAATACTTCTGAAAGGTAGTCAATGTAATCAACATATGACTCATGAAGTTTGCTTTCTCTACTGTCAGAGAGGAACTGAGTGCACTGTGTAGGATGTGGGTAGGAGTGCATTTAGAAATAAATAGAGATACTAGTCTTATTTATATCACTAAAAGGGAGGAAAAGGTCAGAAAAAAGTATCTGACTCATGGAACAGGTATTCCCAAGTTGTAAAATGGTAAAACAAGCTCTTGCTCTTCCCGATCCGATAAATCTGATCAATGTGCCTGACAAATGCAAGCTGGCCCTGGCACACCTGCCTCACTATGAAGCTGTCTTTTGGGTTGAAGGTAATTCCTTTACCCCCCTCACACATGAGAGAACACAGCCTTTAACACAAAGTATGTAAAGAATGAAGTGTTGGATAATGAAAAAAACTAGCAAAACAAAATTATGAGCCAAATAAATGGCTTAAGTCTTGGCTTTCTGACCAATTGCAACTTACAGTCTCTACTGCTGATGTATAGTTGAGTTGAAAAAACGGGACAGTTCACCAGAACCTGACCCTTCAAACGCAGAAAAATTAAAATAGCAGGAAGAGAGTAAAAGAAAAATACTAACAGAAAAGCTGTAAGTCTTACTTTACTGCCTGAGGCCCCAAAGTTTACAACCAGCATTTTAATACCAAGCCTTTAACTCAAAACATTACAGGTTTTACAACTTAATATAGCTCCCTGGACCACCAACACTCTGTACCTTGGCTTCATCTACAATACTTCAGGAGACAGCAACCTTTAGCAAAGACATCATGAACCAGCCTGCCATCACAGAGACTTTATCCCCACACACTACCTACCAGATCATAGGACAGCAGTGCAAAAGTGAAACCAGTCTTTGGTATTACCAAAGACTTGCCAGTTGGTAGGAACCAGCAAGAATAGAACAGCAAACAGCACTTGGGAATGGGCTCCTGCCATCAGCTCACACAGTTGAACCCAGCAAGGAAAGTCACCTGTGGCACATATAGGAGTCAGGTAGCATATGTTCCCTCTTACCCACAGAAGAGGAGGAACCTGTGAGTCATCAGCTGATACACTGGAAGAACACTGAACCATAAACCAATAACAAAAAAAAGTTGTAGTAGGGGAAGAAGCCATTTCTCTAACAGAATTCACAGAATATATGTGGTAGAGAGAAGGTTTAGGAATCTTTATGTTAGAAAACAAAGTCCCTTTCTGAAATAATACATACTGAAGATCAATAGAAAAGTGGGCTTTCATTTACATTTACACCTTTGTGAAGTGAGTGTTTATTTTTCTTCTTAATTGGGCAAATGTGTCCTGTATAGATTAACTGGCTATTCAGAAAATTTTGAAAAGGGACAGATAACAAAAACTATTGTAAGATTAAGACAAGTGGATCATTTTCACAATATGCCCCTGGTGAGATCTCTGCTCCTACTTAATTTTAAACGTGCCAGTGCTCCAATTAATTTTGAAGCATGGAAACAGTCCTCATGTGGATGATTAAAGACTCTTCTAGTTTTCTGTACAATTAAGCATATACTTCCTCTTTGTGGTTCAGGACATTAGAAACATATTGGAGGAGGAAGGTGGAACATCTTGCCTAAAATCGCCCAGTGGTGGTGGTGCGGTAAAAGCCAGGAACACAACACAGATCCCCTGTGCCATACTAACAGACTTTGCCACTATTTAGGATACCATAACTAGGTTAAGCCAAAGACAGAAATGACACTAAGGGCTGAACTGGTCTTTTGTACCAGTCGCAGAATGGCTAGCTTCTACTGCACCTTCAGCCCTGAAAACCTCGTACTTCACCTACTACACCACAGTTCTGGTGTAAAGGTGCACCACACATGAAGCTACCCATGAAGAACTACTATGCTTTAAATCTGTATGTAATCATCAAAACAATCCTCTACTGCAGATTCTTCTTTGACTTTCACCATTTCCACTGAAACATGTTTTTGCAATACATCATGTTATTTCGTGTTTTGCACGCAAAAAAGTCTAAGCTGGAGAGAGATAGCATGCCAAGAGAGATAAGAGCCAACAGGCTTGCTAACCTTGCAAAGAAAAGTTTTAAACTAGGTTTGTCAAGGGAGGGAGAGCAAAGCTTGAAGAGAAGCGAAGGCTTGGCAGGCCCTGATGAAGCACCCAAGGGATAGCATAATGGGGGAGGCTCTCATGGGCAGCATGGCAGTGGCCCATCTCATGTGCTAGCACATGCATGAACACACAGCATGGGAAAAAATAGGAGGAATTAGAAATCTGTGCAGTCACAGAACAAGTTTATTGGATCACAGAGACATGGGAGAACTCACAGGCAGACAAGAGCGTGCCATGATGGATGCAGACAGACTTCATTAAAGCCTTGAAGGCAAGAAGGAGGGTTTGCACCTTAGACAAAGAAGCCATTTAAATGCACAGAACTTTTCCCTGGTGCAGGTTATAAGCCAATTCAGAGCTAATAGGTCAAAATCAGATAGGAGGTTAACAAAGGGGATATCATGGTGGATGTCTGCTATAGACCTCCTGATCAAGAGAAGTAATTAGAGAATCCAAGTCTTTGGACAGCTAAAACAAGTTTCATAATCAGCAGGCACAGGGAACTGTAACCATACCAACATCAATTGGAACAACAACACAGCAAGGCGCAAGCAGAACAGATTTCTGGAGAGTATCGAGGACAACCTTTTGATACATGATCAATGACCCAAATAGGGAAAATGTTCTATGGATCTTCTACTAACATGTAAGGAAGAACCCGTCAGATATGGAAGGGTACAGAACAGTCTTGGTCACTGAGATTATTCAATGGTGGGTTTTTAAGATCAAAAGTGAGAGGGGAAGGTAAGCAGCAGAATTATAATACTGGAGAGAGTTGGCTTTAATTTGGTCAGGGATCTGGTTGGCAGGATCCCATGTGAGATGGCCCTGATGGGCAAAGGTGTCTAGGAGAACTGTTTGACCTTAAGGATAACTGAACATAAAGCACAAGTGTACATTCTGATGTGCAGGAAGTTGAGCAAGAGTGGCAGAAGACCACATGGAGGAACAAAAAACTCCTGACTGAGTTCAAGAAGGAAGTATCCTGAAGGTGGAAGGGGGCTGCCTGGGAGAAACAGTCATTGCCCAAGCATGCAAGGATGCAGTTAGGACAACTAAAGTTCAGCTGGAGTTGGAACTAGCAAGGGATATGCAGGACAACAAGAAAAAGGCTTCTGCAACAAAAAAGGCTTCTGTTGCAGCCTTTCTTGTACATTGATACAAAGAAAGGCTCAGAACAGACAACATCCACTCCCTTCCCCTCATCATTGAAGCCAGTCATCTCATCATAGAAAGCAATCAGATTGCTCAGGCATGCTTTGTCCTTGGCAAATCCAGTTACCTTCTTATCCTTAATATGCTTGGAACTGGCTTCCAGAGGATCTTCCCAAAGAACTGAGGTTAGGCTGACCAGCTTTTATTCCCTCCTGGGACCACTGTTCAACAGAGCAGGGAACCTAGTGACAAAAGATTTGTAAAAGGCCAAGGCTACCTGTCTTCCCTGTTTTTAGTGCTGAGGTCTGTTCTCAGGCCTCTGAGGTCCCTGTGCCTGGCAGAGTATAGGAGAGTGAATTATTACTCATGGTAGAGGAAGATCGAGTTACAGCCCAGTTATGCAAACTGGACATAGATATGTCAATGGGACCAGGTGAGGTGCACCAAAGCTCCAGAAGGAGGCAGCCAATGTCATTATGAGACTGCTGTCTATGACTTTTGAAAGGTTGCAGCAACTGTGAGATATTCCTGATGCCTGGAAAAAAGGCACCCCTCTACAAGAATGACAAGGAGGAGGAAATACAGGCTGGTCAGCCTAACCTCAGCACTTTGGGAATATCCCCTGTAAGCCATTTCCAAGCATGTAAAGGTAGAGAAGATGCCTGATAACAGCCACCATGGATTTACCAAGGTCGAAGACAACCTAATTGCCTTCTATGATGAGCTGACTGCCTTTGTTGGTTAGGGGAAAGGAGTGGATGTTGCTTATTTAGACTTTAGCAAGGCTTGTGACAGTCTTCCGTGGTCTCCGTGTAGCCAAACTGGAGGAACATGGTTTGAATAGGTGACCTGCAATGTGAGTGGAAAACTGACTAGACCACTAGGCTCACAGAGTTGTGATCAGGAACTTGAAGTCCAACGGGGGTGGTTGGACCAGTTACTAGTAGCGTTCCTCATGAGGTCAATACGGGGGCCAACACTGTGTAATGTCTTCATTAACCGGATGATGAGATGGAATGCACCCCAATGAGGCTTGCAGGTCAAATTGTGGGAAGTGGCTGTGAACTGGAAGATAGGGCTGCTATTCTGAGACACCTCAATAGGCTGGAGAAATGGGCTGGCAGAAACCTCATGAAGTTCAACAAAGGCAAATGCAAAGTCCTGCACCTAGAACAGACTAATAACTGGACAGAGAGCAGCTCTGCTGAAAAAGACCTGGGCAAACTGAACATGACTCAGCAATGCACCCTTGCAGCAATGAAGACAACTAAAGGCAATGCTGTGCTTTGTTAGTATGAGCAAAACAAGCAGGTCTAGGGAAGAGTTTATTTCCCTGTATTTGGCACTTACAAGATTGTATCTGGAGTAGCGTGCCAAATTTTGGGCTTCCCAGCAAGACAGAAGCTGACATACTGGAAAGATTCATATGTCTTGATACTGAAGACACTGGCAAAATCCCAGCAACATGAATGAAAAAGATGTGCCTAATTTAAAAGGCTTCCAAGTTACTTATTTATTTGATTATCCATAACTAAATTGCTTGAACAAATCTGTATTTACCCCAAAGCTCCTACAAGTCATTAGTAGATTAATGTCAATATACAGGGCTATATCTGCCCACCCTCCATAAAATTTATCAGAAAGAAGGGAAGTCTCAGTAAGTTACCACTGTGTCTGCAGTATTTCTAATGGAAGTTCTCCTCTCCTATGATTTTCATTAAAGAGGCTGTCTGAATATTTCTCCTAGCTTCTAGCAGTGATTTTTCTAAGCAACTGTGCTATCATTGTCTGTTCTAGCTGTGCTTTCTGGAGTGAAGCCAGGACCCAGCAAGTCTTAATATCACATGCTATGCCAACCCATACTGGTTTCAACAATACTACTTGCTTCTGAGCCAGACAGAGCAGATATCTCCATCTCTTCCAGCTTAACCTACCCACACACTGCAGAACCCAAACAGAGTGAAGATAAATCTTGTAATTTCCAGAGGTTGCTAAGAAACATGGTATGTTAGCTCTAGTTCCTATTTTTTATCCCTCTGCTCCAAAGACAGCTTTCCAAAGATTGTATTGCCCACCTGTTTGGCTGTCAATCTGTCTGACAGTGTTTCTTGTCTTTCTCTACCCCCCTCAACTTTTAAATGTTGGCCAGTGTTGACCTTCCCTGACACAGAGCTAAGATACTCAAAGATACGAGGTTTCTAAAAGTCCTCTGAATATTGACTGTTAGAGATAGACCCGTTAGTTGCAGTTCAGTAATGCAAGTATAGCAGAGTAATAATTTACAACCAGGCTACAACAGTCTTATTTTATGATCATAGTTAAACTGAGACTTGTGTTGCATAATACCTTACCCTCCCATAGAAACACCGGCTGCCATGAACGGAGCTGAGGGGTGCAAGCTGTGTACATGATGAATAACGGCCTCTAAATCCTCTGTGTTAGATGCACAGTAAGTCCTTGGTGTCTGTAAGGAGTCAGAGGGAAAAATGCCATCATAAGCTTTTGTATTATCCTTTAAGGACAAAGCAAACTGAACAGTGGATCATTTATATAACAAGATAAATTTAGCATTTACCGTGAAGCTGTGCTAAATGGCAAATATAAACCCAGAGCATTTCACAAGGAGGTGGAGGAAGGAGTTATACTTGTTATCATTACAAAATAAAACACGTGACAAATATCCTCAGTATCTGCAACCTTCCGGTCATTAGCTGAAATCTAAACACAGAGCAACGAGCTAAACTAGATAGAACTAGATAGACATGGGTATTTTTAAAATACCCTGAGGAAACGGAAACATATCATAAAGGCTGCAATTTACAGAAAAGAAAGTTATCATGACAATTTTACCATCTTCACCCACATGCAAATGCAAAAGAAAATATTAGATTTCAAGTTCTGACAGCTAGTATTTGAAAAGTAGCCGATATTTAGATTCTACACACTATAGAAGCAAATAAATAGATAAATAAATTCACCAGTGTCACTTACCTAATTTACTAAAATATTCTATTAACTAAAGCAATGAAACACATATATATTCCCCCTTCTCTATCTACCATCAGTGTTTCTTCAAATCTTGAACTGAGACTTGGAATGACTTCCACTGGCATCAGTGGGATTTGGGTAACCCCTTCCCTGCTTTTGAAGGGTAAGCACAGCTTTTGAGCCTCACTTGCACAGACAACTGCTACAGGCCACAATCTGGGGTACTATCTGAAGCAGTATAAGGGAGATAAGTCCTTTTACGTACAATAAGTATCACAGTAAAATAAGTTTTTTTCTAATGGTGTTCTCTAGATTTCATCTACAGCAATAGAGTTGCTACTAATGTCTTAGTGACCTTGACTTAACTATAGGTAGTGGCTGGCCTGCCATAATTCAGTATAAACATTAAAACTAAATATAAAAATACTTAATTATGAGTTAATTGAATTTATTTGTTGCCTGAAGCAACAATGTATTTTAAGTTTTTTTTTTTAAATTGCTTTCAGTTGAACAGCCTGGATATTTGTGGGCAATTTTAACAAGTTTAATTAGATGAAACTGATTACTTAAAATACATTTAACAGGAATATTGAAATCCTGAAGTCAAAGATATAAAAAAAAGGATAGAAAAGCTAAATCTGGGTAATTAAAACTAAAGATATTCTTAATTTCCATTTATGTTGCATTTCCAGTTCTTGTCCACATGAATCACTCTTCACTGTTTTACACCCTATTAATTATAAACAGTGTGAATGTGTTTTATTTTAATTAAATTGTCAAGTTCAAAAGTTAAAATAAATTATTTTTGGTAACTAGGGTCTAATGTATTGTAAGTGAAAGTGTACTTGATTAAAAGTTTATAAAACTAGAGAGATATCTTGCATTTTAATTTCAGTTAATTCCTGACACTTTGATGTCTATTTATTTACTCATTGTATAAAGATATTTTTAAAACACCATCTTAGCTCACACTGACTGTGGTCAATCTAATATTTGATTATTCCATAACAATAATTCACAGTAACTTTCAATAACAAATGAGAACAGCATTTTAAAACTGATTCTTTAAATAGCTCTTATTTGGTGTAAATTTGAATCTATCTTTAAAAAGACTAGGAAAAGAACTACTTGCATGACTGATTTCTACTGTGGTGCTTGACTATGCTTCAAACTTATTAACTAGGGATTTTATATTAAAATGTAGAAACTCCTCTGCAGAAAATGTGATAATCTCATCTGGTTTGCTTCACAGTAAGATCTTATAAAGCTTAAAGATGTAAATCCGATTACAGTAAAATACACACAATGCATCCAAACAAGAGATCTTTTCTCTTAACGATTCAGAAATTCATCAATAAGGACTTTGTGTGTCACAAAACTGCTTTGTAGATCCATCTCCAAAAGTATGCAGAAAACTACTCTTAACATGGCAATATTTGCATTGAAATGCTTTATCTGATTATGGGAAACATCTGAGCTTTTTAACGTTTGGAACCAGGGAATTAAAAAATGCAAAACAATACCGAGTATTATGCACATTCATTACAGCTGCAGAACTGTCAACAAAACACATATGAAGAAACAAAGCTTATTCAGCAATATTTCATCATTCCTTGTCCCTAGCTGCAGAAAATGTTTAGCTTCAAGACTTTGCCATTTGTGGGATTGCCAGTTATTTCTAAGCAAACATAGTATGCCTGTCCCAAATGCAAAAAATGTCTTTTGTAGCTGATTTTGTGTCATAATTGCTGAGAAAAATACAAGAACACATTTAACATCTAGGATATGGCTCCCCATAAAAATCTGGTTCATTAATTCAAAACCACATAATATGGATCAATTTTAATGGCACAACTATTAAAATCTACTTTAAACTCATACTGGCAACTCATAGTGGGAAAGTAATTAAGGCTGCTTATATTTGGATTTGTATGTTAAAACAATGGGAGAAAATTGCATTGACTGAACAGAATTTCTTGGATGTGTGCATTTTAGATACCATAGTATTTCTGGAAAGAAAAATGTAAGGATTGTTCATTTTAATGTTACAGATATTAATAATTTACATTCTTTCCTAAAATGAAATGTTCACAAAAATTGTGTGTTGACCAGTTGACCTCTTTGAGTTTTAAAATAAAAGATGGATATTGGCACATGATTGATCTATTAGATGACTAGATTCTTTTCTCTGCATTTACAACATACGCTGTGAGTTTCTCTCATTTAAATCCAGCTGTACAAATAGACATAAATGATTCCATATATACTGCTTATAAGTGAGAGATGTTTATCTTAGAAGTCATCCTTACCAGAAGATCCTCACCAGCAATTCCCCGATTGTTAAAAACCACGCATCTAAAAATTGAGACAGTAAATTCAATTATACACATTGTTCACTCCACTAAAAAAGATAACACACAAAAAAATGAAAATGCATAAAGAAAAATAGGCCAGTTCTATGAATAAGTTCAGCACATAAATATTTACAGTCCTACAGATTCTGAAGTCTGACCTGTGTGGAACAACCTTGAAACCAAAATGGAGTTCACTGAAGTCAGCAGGACTCTATTTGAGCTCTGTGATTCGCCCATCGAGGTCAGATTGCAGAATGAGAGCCCCAGCATTTACCTGAAGATAGTACATGCATCTTGTTCTGCCTGCACTCTGAGCTGGCCAAATATAAGCCATAAGCTCTGCCAGTGCAGGGCTGAGCCTAAAGCAGTACTCTGAAAGAGAATGTCAGAGATCCATGTGTAGACATCCTCCAAAGCTACATAACTGTATTAAATAGCAAGAAATGAGCCAAATCAAAATTATGACAGCTGCATCCAAGTTGCAAGTTCTTGGGGATGGGATGCCTGTGGGAGTTTTCTAGCAGTATTACCATGATCGAAGGATCTATACTTTCTTATAAAATCTTACTTTTCTATTACTCTTCTACCATCTCATTGTAATAATTCTGTTAAATAATATATACATATTTTAGATGGGTTAAAGGCATGAAAAATTACTTATTTTGGTATTTTTCTCTCAAATGTTGCTGTTTAAAAACAAAATTATAACATTCTGTTGAAATCTGACCTAAAGCTCTCCTTTTTTAATGCTATACCTTCTTTTCTCAGCTGATCAAACGAAGATATTTCTGGAATTCTTTCAGGAATACTTAAAAAATTAATTGTAAGAAGTTGTTGATTTGAGGGCTTTCCTCCTCTGATATTTTTTGCTGGTAAGTTTTAAAGTGATTTTAAAAGTACTTTGAACAGTTAAAGTGCTACTTTACTTGCATAATTTAGTAAAGCAGTTATCCAAATCTCCAAACAGAGATAGCCAGACATGTAGATAAAAGTTCATATATATGTATTTGAAGAACTTATTATAGTCAGTACCAGAAGCCAATCTGCAAAGACAAAATGTAATATTCCAAATACAGATCCTGGAACAATGACAACTTATTTAAAAGCACAGCAGCAGCAATATGATTACATAAAGGAATCTACTCATCGACTAATCCACTTCTTTTACCCAACTTTGACCAGAAGCCTTAATAACAAAACTAAGTAAAGCAGTGACAATTAAGAGGTGACAAACCTCTTCCTTAACCACCACCAGTAAGAGCAGTCTAGCTCTCCTTTCTGCACTCACAATTTTGAGGCTGCTGAATCAAGCAATTTTGGCATTCAGAAGCTGACCTCCTCTGAGGCCTGCTGCCAGCAGCCCATCCACACAAGTTTTCTTGGAGCTCAACACAAACCCCTTCACTAGAAAGTGTAAAGGTAGCACAAATACTGATATAATTTAAGAAGCAGCAGCAAAGGCCTATGCAGACTTAGCTTGTTTTCACTGCAGTCTCTGGGGCACCCCTGTAGATACTAAAACAGCCCTTCCAAATGTACTGCCTGTTATATAATTCTACTATTATTATTACTAATAATACTTTCTTACATAAACTAATGTCTTTAGATTTCATTTGCCTCAGGAAGGCATCTTACACATATACATACTTATATTTGATCTTACTGGAAGAAGCAAAATACTAGCAATGAAATACAACAGCACCTATATCCCAGGGTTTCGCTTTGATGGATCATATGAAGAATGTAGGATTCCTTGCTCGTTCCTGTCAGGCCAGGCAGTAACAGGACAGTGGGTCTTGTGCTGGCATCCGGATAATATAAGCTGTCATTATTATCAAACCAATCCAACGAAATCTGTCCTCCATCTGCTGTTTTAATGAGCTCACTGAAAGGCACATTTCAAGACAACACTGATTAGATGGAAAAATACATGCATACTATTAAGAGTACTTACAGTGTACAAATTACCAGGTATGAATTCTGCATTTTTAATTATGTTTTAATACTCCAAGTGCCACCTAACTAGGTATGTTTGCATGTTCACCATTCAGGAAGAGCCACACCTACAGCTGACATGAGTTAGCACAGTCAATTTGTGGAGTAATTCCTGTTCCCAGTAAATGAAGAGCTGGCCTTTCATGAATTGCTGCTGACGTACTGGAAACTTGTAACTAGTATGATTTTTGGCATGGCCTTCTATTTTATATAGGCTTGTGTACTGCAGATTTCTTTGGATCATCTGAGAATCTTTTGATAGCACACTGGGCAATGTGTTAAACATTTATCACATTTTTTCCTCTTTATCCAAAGAAGCAGCATGTATAATGGCACTTTGTTATGTTTGAAACACACGGAACACAGACACGCACTACTATATCTTTCACCCTGTATCTCCACAAACCTTGCTAGAATGCACTCTTAAACCATGTATCTTAAGAATGCAAAAAATATTATAATATCCCAAGAAGCTAAGCATGCATTAAACAATGACAAAAAGGTTTATTTCTTTTTTTAGAAACATACAGCATCTTCCCTCTTCCTGGCAATGAAGATATTATACGAGACAGTTGGTGTAGGAACTACCAAAAGGTAAGCCTACCTTGCATTTGATTTTTCAATTGAAAGTCTTGATAGCACCTACTTCATATTTTAAAGCTCTTTAGCCTTGTTGGACTCATTAGCTTAGCTTTGCCCTTTTTCAGTAACGGGAAGTAGATGCAATCCTGGTGTGTACTGCCAACACAATCTCAAATGGTGCAAAATAAGCATTGCCCCATGGAACTATGTTTCTTCCCTCGCAAACCTTGAAATAGAGACTATACAAGAAGGGCTAGAAAAAGTGGACATGGCCATACCACTGAAAAGTTTCCTAGTTACTAAAACTAAGGGAAGCTGCTAAATGCTAAAACTATTCTACCATGCAAACAGAGCTGAAACAACTTGTGCTGCATCCAGGTTCCGGTGCATAAAAGTACTTCTCCTTAGGTCTTGTGCCAAATGCCTCATTTGCCAGACTAAGTCTCATTTCTGTGTGAGAGAGATCAGCTGAGGACAAACACTAAATATAAGTTCTTTCCCTTTTAGAATTTGGGCATCAAAGAACACAACATAAACCCCACTGGTGAAAGTTACTCTGAAAATCCCAGAAGTTTTATATATTCGAAACAAGGCTAAATGTGGCCATGCTATGGTTAAGATAGTACCTGTTGGTTCAATGGACAGATGCAGTGATTGCATGAGCTCTGCAAAATGATGGCATTCAAACACCAGAATGTTTGATATACCAGATGACTGTGCTGCCATCCAGAGAGACCTCAACAGGCTGGACAGGAACTTCATGAAGTTCATTGAGGGGAAGTGCAAAGTCCTGCACTTGGGAAGGAACAACCCTATGCACCAGTACAGGCTGGGGCCTGACCGTCTGGAAAGCAGCTTGGCAGGAAAGGACCTGGGAGCCCTGGTGGACACCACACTGAACATGAGCCAGCAATGCTCCCTCGCAGGAAAGGCAGCCAACAGCCTCCTGGGCTGCATTAGGAGGAGCATTGCCAGCAGGTCGAGGGAGGCCATCCTTCCCCTCTATTCAGCACTGGTGAGGTCACACCTGGAATTGTCACCAATATTTCAGTGCTCCAAAACTCTCTGAGCTAAAATAGGGCCATTTGGGAACCTTGACCTTTTAAACCTACTGTATATTGAATCCAGGATAGAGATGGTTCCAAGTCTATGATGGAGTTGTAAAGGCAGGCATAAAGCAAAAAAAATGGGCACAAGCTTGAGCAACAATGGTAGCTGTGACACAATCAGAGTAAGGTAACTGCTGGCTACCAAATCAGTCACTTTCCAGAAGAAAGGCACTTACTTCCTGTACCGTACTTGGGGTCTAGAGGTGATAAAGGGACGCAGGAGTGTCTGCACCCGACCTTCCCAGCACCAAATGGTGGGATAGTAAGTTTCAGTCACAACAGGGCAATATTCCTCAAGAAAGCGGCAGAAATGGTCATTGCTGGCCACCAGCTGGGGTTTCTAGGAAGAGAGACTACAGTCAGGCAAGGGCATTCATATAAAAAACAAACTGACAAAGAAAGAGAGAAAGAAATGAAAGCTTGTTTAAATCCTCTCTCAGTAAACTGGTTTCTTTCATATAATCATTTCAATGCTTTTTCCTGTCATGGTAAAGAGATAAGTAAACAAACCCCAAATGAAATGCCAAAATGCCAAGCTGAAAAGTGAAACGCACTAAACGTAATGGATTCCTTACCTATTTCTAATAACATGCTATTCTAGCTCTACTTTTACCAGCATTGTATCTTTCACTGACAAATCAAAACCACACAGTCTCACAGCAGGTGAGAAAGATTTTACTGAATCAATTTTCTTGCACCGCACAGAAATGACGTTTAATCTGTGTAGTTTGACCTGGTATCTTGTAGTGTACCTGCAGTACCTGTTTTAACCTAGTAGGACACTCCATCTCCCATCTCATACTACGGTACACAACTGCATTGGTTACTCATCTCAATGTTCTGCATGCAGAGATTTTTCTCACAGCTTCTGTTTGTATACCAATCAACATGGAAATCCCTGTATACCAAACATCCCATGTTTTAGCAACCATATTTCTTAAACTTCTCTTTTACACTGACTCTCCAACACACAAGCATTAATAGGACAATAATAGATGATTTGAAGAAAACTGTTACACATACACAGCCGCAGTGGCATGTTCTCCCTTCATTTTTCTCCTCTGACCAAAATCAAGTACGCTTTTCTCAGTGAAGAGGAAGGCTATGTTCTCAGCAGTTCTGTGAAGGACTGTGGCAACACACGTCTTCCACCGTCATAAATCTTTTGATACGCATATTTTCAGGGGCCACTTTAGATCAGATCAGTCTCACTGTATCCAAGTAATTTGCGAATGCCTAATTTATCCGTGAAACCAGTACTAACCAGAAGATGTGCAAGAGTGTCCTAGCCCCCAAAACACTGCGATAGTGGTACGATGGTATCGAAGGCAGACACGAGGGCAGCAAACTACTTTATCGCCTGCCCTGTTAATAAACCAAAGAGGTTGGGTTTTTGTCGTGGAGGGAGGGCTCCTGACCTCCCTTTCCAAACCATCGCCCCCAGCCAAGTTCTCCCCCTAGCACGAATGCATTTCGGGGACGTCTGAGGCCAGAGCCCCTTCCCCTCCCAGGCCGGGCACGAACAGAGGAGAGCTCCCTCAGGCCGGCCGGCCCCCGGGGGCGGCTGGCGGGCCCCAGCGGAGGAAACGCCTCAGCGGTTCACGGGGAGCCCAACGGCCCCGGCGGGCCCGGGGGGTGCGCCGCCCGGCCCGGCCCGGCCCGGCCGCAGGGACGGGCCTGTGCGGGGGGCGAGCGGCGTTTCGGCCAGCCGGCACCCCGGAGCGGCACCTCCAGAGGAAGGTCGGGGCGTGTGAGGACGAGGCGAGCGCAGCGCCCTACCCCCCGGCCAGCCATGTCAGGTGCCGACGCTCCCCTCGCCAGAACGGCGCCGGCTGCCTCCGCTAAGGGGGGTGGGTCGAGGTGATCTTCGCGGGACAGTCCCTGCCAGGACGGTCCCCCCGCGGCGGGACACCTGCGGAGCCCGCCCGTCCCGCCGCCCTCCCGCTCACCTTGGCGATGCTGCTGAGGTAGTAGCAGGCGTAGGCGACGCCGAAGCCCAGCACCAGGGACAAGCCCACGCCGGAGCCGAAAAGCCCCACGCGGACCTGGCTCTCCAGGTAGAGGGAGATCTCTCTGGTCAGCACCTCCCAGTCCATCGTACACGCGGGGCGGCCGCGCAGCGCACCCCGGCGCGGAGGGAGGAGGAGGAAGAGAAGAAGGAGAAGGAGGAGCTGCCGCCCGCCTGCCGCTGCCCGCGGACCGCTCCGCGCTACAGCGCCTCCGG